CACCCCATCCATCCAGGAGTACTATCTGATTGCCACGGCCTGGCTGGGTGTACCTGCATCTCTGTCCTCCATTTCTACGTATGCAAGAGCTTGAATTTTGAGAGCAGGTTTCTATGTTATACTCAGAGCTCTGAATAGGGAGAAGTTTACGTCTTTGTTACCCGAGCCTTGCATAAATCCTAGAGATCTCCAGCTACATTCCTTGTCTCTTTAACCAAACACAAAGGAAAGGGGGGTGTTGGTAATGGAACGGAATTAGGTGGCAGAGTTCTCGTCCTGCAAGTCAGGAAAGGCCTTTTGGCTCCCATCTCCAGACAAGTACTGGTGATGTGGAGAAATTCTGAGTATGACTGGGATATGCTCTTTGAATGTATCTGCATTTCGGTCTCTGCAAGGCACAGTGAGGATCAACAGGAATTTTCAATGCCAAAAGTCATATGCCAAACCTTCACGAGGACAGCCCTTTGTCTCGGCCACACGGTCTAAAAAACCAACCACAAAAATGGAGAAACAACCTAACAACCCCCTTCATTCCGCATCGGCTTCCTCTGCGGAAATGGCTCCTGAAGCCCAAGACCCATTCCAACCATCTGCCATGAAGAATCACTAAGAAACAAGGTTCATATAACCCACAGCCCAAGCTCATGACCGGTAATTTCTACAGAGTGATATTTTGGGATGCTGGATGGATTAACTCTAGCACCCATTCATCCTTTACAGTGTAAGTCAGAGACACGTAATCCCATTGAGCAGTTCTCCATCACGGACTGCCAAGGCAGCACAACAGCCTGTCTATCAAACAGGTGAGGAGAAAAGTCACCCAGTCTGGGACTGGATGCTCATTTCCAAAATTCCATGAGACATTATACACCCAGAACGTGAAGCGATCTCATCTTTCCCTGTCAGCAGCCAGCAGCACTACAGAGCGAGAAAACAGTTTTTTGCCTTTTTTGATCTGTTACACAGATCCCAGATGACATTTCCTGTAAATGTTATTGTACTCCTGCTGGAGATTCTGCACTAGCTTTTGTCACAGTTTACGTCAGAATACTTCTCCTCTGCTTGGTATCTGGCCAGTTGAATGGGCTTGCTTTTGCTTCCTATACTTCCTTTCCATCTCCATGGATAATGCTCCTCCAGCTGCCAAACTACCAGCAAAAATGTAGTCAGATATGACAATTTTCACCTTATGCGTCATCTAGTTTCCCACGAGGCCCCTTCCCACCATTGCTGCCTTATTCCCCATCTCTGCCAAGAGAGGCAGCAATCAGCCAACTATTCAGTGTCAGAAACAAAGAGCATCATCATGACTCCTCTGCACTCCAGATACTGCTCTCTTTCTGAGATCTGAAGAAAAATGTCTCAGTGCTATGAAGACCTCCAAAATGACTTCTTTTTCCTCCCAACTTAAACAAACAGCAGGTCTTCAAATTCAGGCCCAGCGAGAAGGCTGCTCCATCTGACACCAGGCAGCGTTTGAGCCAGTGAGGCAAGACAGACAAAAGAATTTAGTTCCAGCAGCATGGAGAATGCTAATAATTCATTGAAAAAAAAGTTTTAGTCTTTAGTTCAGGAGATGACAAATTCCCTCTGAAGACTACGCAGTGCAAGTAGAGACAATCACGTAGCTCCTCTGTTCTGCTCTTGGAAAGGCATCTTCACTGTGGAACTCGCTGCCTCCACCTGATGAAAAGGCCAAGTTCAAGGTATTTCCAAAAATGAAAATACTGAGTTGCTGAGTGGTTAAAAAAAGCCTCCTGCCTCAGAATCCACAGCTAGACAGCAAGACTAGAGACAGCATTGAGGACAGATGATCTCTTAACTGCTGCTACGAAGTTTTTTAAACTTTCTCAGAAAGCTTTTGAGATATGCCTCAGTTAAGGCTGACATATGGGAGAAGAGGGCAGGAGAGGACCAATGTAGAGGGTGAGTCTCACTGAATGATCTCCAGTCACTTGGTAAACTCAGTGCACTGTGCTACAGCTGCACGGAACGGAACATGGTGTGCTAAAGGATACAGATGATACAGGTGATACTTAAAAGATGGGGGACTCCACCCTGGCAGCACAAAAAGAGCTTGTTCATTGCCATGCATGGTCATGATGGCTACGGAGGAGCTCCAGGGGCAATGCTGTAGCTCAAAAGACTGAGGTACTCCTTGGGTACGCAACCAGGGCACTCTCTAAGGGGACTGGGAGGACAATGTTAACTCTGAGTTCCTCCACCAGACCCAGTGTTGGTGCACGCCCTTCACGAAGGTGGTTAACAGACCTGAGAACATTCAGATGAGAAAGCATGAGGATAAATAAAGGATGAGAAAAGCATACCTTAAAATGGAAATATCAAGGTACTCCCTTGGCTTAACGGGGAGGCTGGTCACTTGACAGCAGGCTGTACAAAGCCCTAGTAAGGACAGACGTTTGGTAACTTAGTCCTCCTTCCCCTGGCAGACAAGTTATAAATAGGATCCAGTGTCTGAAAGCTACAGCTGGAGATATTTTTAGTCTTAATTTAGTGAGGGTAATAATTCATCAAAGTAATTACCTTAAGAAGTTGCTGCATTTTCTGTCACTCTTACCAGCAAGATTAGCTGTCTCTGAAACACACACATGAGCATTTATCAAGGCTCCTATAGCACACGTCACTCTGGCCAGTCCAGAGATCACCACGGTCCCTCCTGGCTCTCCTGTCTTTGATAAGGCCTTCAAGCTCTGCGAGTGGCAAAATGTGACAGTCAAGTAGAAAACCTGGCAGACATTTATTTCAATACGTCTCCTCGAAAGACAGATAAATCCACACACTACCATGATGCACCACCACAGTAGAACAGAGATCAGATTAGCTCAGTAACTTCGTTTCTTCCAGGTAAAAATTCAGGCTAATAATTTGTCTATCACATTTTTTTCAGAAACATCTTGCCAGGATGCGTAAGGAACCAGTTGGATGGTTCAGATGGAATTACACCATCACCTCTAGAGAAAATCTTATCTTTAATGAATATGATGGAGTATGATTCCTTAACAATGGCCTGAAATTCAATATGCTGAGTGGAAACCTCTGCTATTGGTAAGATGTCTTTCCACAGGAAAAACCCTGTGCTCAAACCTATCAAATTCTTAATGTGCTTCTTGACACACAGAAACAAATATTGGCAGTGGAGCCTGTTGCTAAGGCACTGTGGGATGAGAGAGTGGGAAAAACATCTGAACTCACAGATTTCACTCACTGAGATGGAGGAAGCAAAGACACACCATCCAACTGGAATTTGGATCTGTTTTTCTCTTGGTCAGGCAGGGCCTGTGTGGAAACTAGATGTGCTACCAAAAAGGATCCCTTTCCCTAAGAGAAAAAGCCATGATGGCAGCCTTTAAGAAACACTGTCTTTAGGCACTTTTGGTGAACAAATTCTATCCAGTGTCCTTCACAGTAAGAAAAGTAATTGAGCAGAGAGGCTTGATGAACTTGCTTTAACTTCTCAGGTGTCACGGTGGATGTAGGTCTCTGTTCCCTAGGGAGAAAAGTAAGATCACGGGGCTGGCAGGGCAGGGTCTTTGACAGCCCTCCCCCTGAGAGAGGGAAGCAAGTCAAGACCAGAGATGACAACCAGGTTCAACCAAGAGTCCAGATCGTCAGGAAGTTCACGGTGATGAGACAGATCCACGGTCAAGCTAGAAAGTCAGTCCAGAGGTCACCGCCAGGATCAGCTCTGGCAAGGATAACCAGGGCCAGGCACATACCAGTGATCCTCAGGAGGTCTTGAGAGATGAGACAGCATTGACGTCAAGCTGGGAAGTCACTCTATGGGTAGGGGTGCAGACTGATGGGATCCATCATGTCTATGACTGAGCTGGAGACCAACATCTTACAGTGCAGCTCAGGCAGGGTCTGACGATCCAGAGCTGAGCTGAAACAGGGGGTATGAATGTGGGTGGAGGCCCCATGCGAGGCTGGTCAGGGCCATTGAGATCTATTAGTGCACTCAGGGCCCTGACATCACTCAACATTCTCATTCTGAAAGCAATGGACATGGATAGATGTGCAGGTTTTAGTGCTCTCACCACATACCTCCATGACCTTGACTGTTGCCTTCTCTGCAGTTACCAGAAGACGATTCAGTGAGTGCACACTCCCGAGCTTGGACTTACCAAGCTAAAGCCCACTCTTGGTGGCTCTTCTAGCCAGTCCACATCCCAAACACACTATGTTTTCTCTGCACTGTAAACATATCATCTAAGAACGATCACAATATCCCAGTCTCTTGCAAATATAATTAAATAATTCCACCTTACAGAGCCAACAGAGCCTGGAGAAGGACAGAAAGAAATCTCTGGATCCTCCCCCTGTGCAGCTCCGTTCAGGGACATTTCTAAAACTGGGACAATGAAAGTGCCTACAATCCACTTTTGGAAAGAGCCTCTGACACCCGTCTTAGAAAGAGTGAACAGGCTGACAGAAACAGGCTAAGAATATGTATTTTAAAAGAGTAATAGCCCAGTTCTAAGCATATGAGAGAGTCCCTACTCCTCACTAACAAAAGGGAATTTTCGAAGGAGACATTTGGCATTAACAATTCCAGGGAACCCCACAGCAGACCTCTTTTCCAGACAGCAGGTATCCAGCAGCATCGACCAAAAATTATCCTGCAAGGTCCTATTAACCATGCAGGATATGAGTCCAGGTTTTAGCCCATTTTCAGCAGTTTTTTATCCACTATTACAGAAAACCACAAAGACAGGCTCCGGAAGGGAAGCTTGCACTCAGGCAGAGACCCAGAAAGCTGAACTGGTAATGCTGAAGCGTTTTCCTTACCCACTCCCACTCCGGCTAATGTTTCAGCATTTGCCTTACAACCACATGAACAAGACCAGGGTAAAAACACAGTCTCAGCTCTACTGGACTGCTAGGGCCAGAGAAAAGCCAGCTGAGCTTTTCAAAAGTCATGGTGTTTACAGCTGCCTCACAGGACGTTGGTTTATAGGAAGAGCAGAGTCTGAGCAGTATAGAGGTGGGAGGATGTCCTGGCCAGCCTGTCTTGGGAGGTAATCATGCCCTCTCCTGTATGTTCATCAGGTTAGTGGTTTATCACTGTAAATCATAAATCTTACTGGTCATAGGAACTAGGAGAGGAAAAAAAAGTTTATTAAAAAAAAAAGGAAAAAAAAAAGTTTATGGGGAGGGGGTTAAACCTTATGAAAATATTATCCTGATCTGATCTGAAGTGTCCTCATAGTTCAAGGTATTTGCTGAAAGGAGTGGAAACCTATCTGCACATCTTGGTGGCTGCTGGTCCAGTCTGCAGCAGGGGCAGCTTCTTTTGCTTTCACAATGGTTACTGCAGAAACCATGGTGCAAGAACGGCTTCAAACCCAGCAGCCAAAAGAATGTGCTTCCTCCTCCAAAACTGGCTGCCAGTAGTCAAAAAGTGGCCATCAGGACCCCGCACCTGCACTCTGCAGAGGGAAAAGGGCAGTATCTGTGTGGGCCACTCGTATCCGCAGCCAGACCTGCACGGGCCACTTGAGGCAAATACCTCTTAGAGAGGACCAGTTGTGTTTTTCTTTTATGCTGGAGAGCCTGGATCGGAACCAGCTGTTACTACAGATGGTTGGGAAGGTGGAGAGATATCCATAGCGATAAACCCTCTTGAAATGGGAAGTACTGGGAAGATAAGAATCTGCTGTTGCTGAGCAGAGATCCGATGCACAGTCCTCAGAGCACACTGCTCCTTAGCTATCTGTACAGGGGTGGACTAGAGACACCAAAACCTTGGTGTCTGAGGGCCCACCTATACTAGGAGATTGACCTACTGCTGATCACCACCAATGGCTTTTCTGAGGACCTGAAAACACCTGAATTAAGAGGCAGAGTTTGGGGGTGCAGGGATGTTTAGAAATAACTGTTATGTGTGCAATCATCAGCAGTGGGTTAGTTCCTTCAGGCAGATGGGAGATAATAAGACTGACTTTGTGATGATGGTGGTAGAGGTATTTTCTGCCCTACACCTTCTACCACAACCTTGGTCCATCTCCATGCTTCAGAGAACCTGCATGGGAACTGGCAAGAGCCACCAAGCCTTGAACCACCTTAAAAGTGAGAGTCTGGTGGACTATGTTCCCAATCTATTTCTATGTATGTCTAAAACTAATGCTGCCTTATTATCATAACTTAAAAACCTAACTAAAGCTGACTGTGGCGAGGAAGGAGTGTGCGCTCCCTCTGCTGGCTGCGGATGAGCAGCTAAAGAAACCCACGGAGCTAACGAGCTCAGCTCATCCATCCTCATCATCAGCCAAAATGCTGGCAGCTGGACGGGCACAGGCGACGAGCAGCCGTGCTGGCTCACAGCACTCAAATCGCAATAAAGCACAGGGCAATGCTATGAAAGAAGCATGAAGTTCAGGCGTAAAGAACTTCTCTGAACACTTTTAAAGCATCCAAACCAACATGTGGTAAGAACTTCTCTCAACTATTTCACTAAAATTTTGCACTGAGTTATGCTTAATAGCTCATTAAAACCTCCCCTTTGTCTGGGGAGTGCAATCGTAGTGTCCCTCCAGAGTGCGGATCGTAGTGTTGTGTAGTATGCTGAGAAGTGCCTTTTCCCCCAAAATAAATATTCTCTTGCCTGTGATTTAGTAGCAAGCTGCCAAGGTAATTTACATGATTTTGAAAACCAGTTTTAACTCACTGTCTGAAATAATTTCTCAGAAGCTCATAAGAAAAATGCTCCTTCCTTGGCACGTATGTTCACTTACGATTTAGGGGAGCCCAGTAATTCTGTGCATTGCTTCAGCTCAACAACAAAATCAAGTATCAAACCCCCAAGGAACATGGGTAGAATGGCATGGACTCTGCTAAAAGTTCAGTGACATGACAGACCTAACAGTAACAGTGCCCCTCTGAGAGGAGATTCCAGCTCAGCCTTACAGTGCCCTGGCCAGCACACGATCTACGTCCTGTCATCTGCAACCCCACAGGTCCAGTGGAAGGATCCACAAGCTCCTGCAACCCTCGTGCTTACCACCAACCACTGTACATGACAGTCTGTAACGAAATAGATGTGCAGCAGGATACTCACTAATAGGTGCATGCAGCGCCACATGCTCTTGGTAGGGAGTGTAGTATTTGTACTGCTTGCCACAGAATTCACAGGTGTAATTGCCAGTTTCTGTGAAGATGAGACAAATACAAAGATCAGAAAGGAGTGCAGCATCCTCACACAATCACTGACTTCCTCATTTTTTACACAGAAATCGGCCAGGCGACAAAAACTAGAGCATATTCCTCATGCACTTGGAACTCATCTGCCCTGTAACTCACACATCCTTTTCCCCAACAAAGGAGACAGTTAAAGCTGGTGTCCAGAGTGACGGACCATGCACAAGAAGTCCAGTAGAACTGAACAAGCTACAGGAGATTATCCCAAAATTACAGCAAGTAAGCATGCAAAACAAAGGAGAGAATCCATTTCTAAAGTCTGTATCACAGATGACACAGTTTTGTCTTCCAGTTACACACAGTCTGTGATGTGTGGACAACAGGAACAGTCAAACTAGAAACAAACTGTCAAGTTCAAGTCTTAATTACAGAACTTCTATATCAAGATTGTAGATTTCTCTTGCAGGAGGAAGGGCTTTTCTGCAATAACTGCACTAATTTCTGCTTTAGGGGTACTTGAAATAATGACGTAGCGTAACCACACACTGACACCTCCTGCTCCTGCCCATGCTGGGAAGTATAGAACTAACAGCAAGCTGCAAGCCAAAGGAAAATCCAGGGTTAATTAATAGTTTCCAAAATGGAGAATTCAGAGAAATACTTCGGCAAAGTCTGGTCCTCCCTTTGTTTCACTCTGATCTGTTTGATGAACTCACCACAAAGGCAGTGTGAATGTAACCACCTGTCAACCCTGCCAAAACACCTTAAGACCCTCTCCAATTGCTACCAGTTTGCTTTTCTCCTGAACCTCTCTCTTTCTTCTCTTTGCAGACCTCTTCAGCAGAAAACGTCACAAAGCTGAATTTCTTGGGACAGGGCTGCTGGTGTTTGGTGTTCATTTGAACCTAATGTATCTTTCAGCATCCCTTATGTCCCAACACCTCTGTGTAACACAGTGCCTTCTGGTTTTCCTAGACGTACTCCAGCTCATGCCAGATTTGAAACCCCTTGTGCTTTCTCTTTCACATTGGAAGGTATATAATAACTCATACTTGGACCAATCTTCTGGAACGGTTCCGGCTCCTCCTCCTTCACTTCATCCGCTGCTATGACAGCCTGGTCATAGGGGTCTGCAAGAGAACAGAAGCAGCAAGAGAGCTGACAACACCCTCAGGTTTTCCTTCTACAGCTGCACGGGCACTGAATGCTCCTGCATCTGTAATGACATTTTGATCTGTAACAAGATTTCAAGACAGGAATTATAAACTCAGTGACCCCTCTGTCTGACTTGTCCCTCCTCCTCCTCAGGCGCCCCAGGACTACCCCGCTTCCAGCCCAGTAACATGCCTAGTTCTATCATGTTTAAAAAATACAGAGAAAGACTGATCATACACATTGCAAAGCCTGATCCATATTTTCTTCCAGTGCATCTGCTCTCTAATGACGTTATACTGTCTTAAAGTAGGCACGGTAATGCAGTCTGCAAGCAAGTCAGCTAACAAATACTGACCAGTGACTTTCTACCACCTAGCACAGCTAGCAACAAATCAGAACCAACCCAACCCATTTTATAAAATAATTTAATTTATGCCTTGAACAATTCACTACATCACCGAAGACATGAAACACCTGCTTCTTTTTACTTTCAGAAGCCTGAACAATTGTATGTACAACAAAAGCCTGGTATCTACTAGGGCTGGGCATCAACCTACTGTCTGCAGACACAGGGAGGGAGAGAGGATGCTCCCTCTCCCGCTGCAATCCGTGACAAAACTCCCTTGGCTCTTACAAGTGTAGAATCGGACCTGCTGTGCCCGAGCTACTGAATGCTTGAAAAGGTTTGTGAAATAAAGCACACGAAGGATCTCAGCTTACCTGCCCGGTTTTCTGGGGCCCCTTCCACACTAAAAACTAATACAGAATAGAAGAAGGAAGGGAAGAAACAAAACAGAAATTAAATCCTCTTAAACGGCCTTGTTTTCCTCCTGTATTTCACGCATCGCTTCAGCATATGTCAGCCCCACAGCAAAAACCAGGCTCTGTGCCCCAGTCCCTCCTCTTCCCAGCAGCATCCACACGGGAACTACTGGAGCATGCCCAGCCCTAACACACACAGGTTTTCACAGCCTTTGTTCTGACGCTGACACAGCCCCACGTGAAGTTCAGACGCACAGCTGCCCCGCACTTGTGTTTGCCAAAACAAAACCAGCCCCTTGGAGGAACCGCGACACAGTGTCCCTGCAAGACACAAGTGGAAGCGGTTTCCAAAGCCCTCTCGTGACCCTAGGCAGAGCGCCCTGAACCACAGCTACAAAGACACGTTTCTGACAGAAGCAGACATGTCCATCTCACAGTGACTTTCAGTCCCAGTAATTTAATTTTGGCTCCCCATGGGAGGAAGGGAGCTTGCGGTGGTGCACTGCAAGAGAATGCTCGCTGTTCTTAGAGCACGTTCAGATGGCCACACATTCCAGTTAAAAACAGCAATTTTTTTGGACATGACGTATTGTGAAAAAACACTTGTTTTTCCAAGACGGTCCAACCATTCAAAACCTTCAGCTTTCCAAGCAGCCTCTTTCTAAAGCTCTGCCAGGGCTCCCTCTTTGGCCAAGTGAGGACAGGCTTGCAGCATACACAGTGAGGGTTTGGAGTATCTGTGGCCTCTGAGTCGAGGAGCTTCAGACGCCCAGGAAGCAGGGGGCAAGCCAAAGACAGTATGTTGTTGCTTCTATTTCTCCCAACATAGAAAGAAGAAACACTGCTTTGGGAGGAGAGCATCTGCTTCTGTCCCAGTGTCACCAGCCCAGGCCACATCTACATTCACAGAGGAAAAACTGGCCTGTAAGGTCCACTGACAACTGCATCAGTTCACTACCACAGTGAATAACAAGAACGAAACAACATTGCTCCACTCTGAAATGAGATTTCTCACAGAGGAGCATGTTGGGAACAAACCTGTGAAGTCAGAAACCGAAAGGCAACCAACTCTTGCCCAGCGAGTAGCCAGACTGCCACTTCACCTTGAGGCACTCAGTTCTAGCACAGCCATCCCAACCACGAACCCCAGTGCAGGTCCCAGCAGAGGGTGTTATGTTGATGCACACAAAGAGAACCACGCACAGCAAACTTCTTCCTGCAGTGCCCGGGGACTGTGCCACCACTGAGAAAGGCGAGCGAGCCGCGCCGCGCAATGTCCGGTACATCATGGGCTGCACGGTCCTGCAGAACCACGTTTTGCCTTCCCCAATGACTTCCCTTTCTCGTTTGGGTGTCTGAGTGTCAAAACAGTACTCACCATCCACGGCGTGTAGGTCTCTGTGCTCTTGGAAGCAGCTGTAATATTTATATTTTTTCCCGCAAATGTCACACGTGTACCTAAAATTGTCTGTAGGAAGAAGAAAACAGGCCACTTTAGAAACTATGAGGTAAAAGGCAAGCAGTCCAGACAACGCTGCTCAATCAGACACCTCCATGCAGTTCCACTCATCCCACCGGCTCTGTCAAATCTCTAAGGGACACGGACAACCACTGCTCCACCACGTCCCCCGCGTGCCACACGCTGTACAGCTTGGGGCATATTCTGATTTGTTATTTCCTATTCCGGCAGCTCTGCTCTCCAGCACAGCCTTCAGAAGACCCCACAGCAACAAAGACACAGAGCAGCAGGCCCTGCTGGAATCTCCTTTGGAAGTTCAGGGCTGCACTAGGCAAGTACTTGTCAGGATGGAGATTTAACTGGCAGAAGTGAACACAGAGTCAACCTATGAGCTGTTGGAAGTCAAGGTCTTAATATGCCAACTACAACATGGACTAGATGTGCCTACGTGCTCATCCCACCCTCGGTTCTCACTGCTGCTGCTTGCTGATCACTAACTGCATCCAAGATCCCGTATGGGCACTTTATAACAAACAAAACTGAAGAGAACCAACAATCCAAAGCACGCGGGACAGTAAGGTGCTCAACGCACAGGACCGATGGAACCTGGTTTCATACATTTGTACCCTAGACCGCCTCTCCCTTCATGCCAGCAACAACAGACCCTGTTCACAGCTGTGTGCAGAAGACAGACAGATGCAAAAAAGCTCAAGATGCTTATGGATTCGTTCTGGTCTGACTGAGGACAATGAATCTCTTCAGCTCAGCTGTCACATCAGCGTAAGAGGAAAATGCCACTTGTCGACTTGGTGGTGTTTTCCACCTCCTGGTGCTGGACAGACCCCTCGGGGTACAGACCAACACCCTAAATCATCACTCCACTGCAACCTGCAGCACCGTACTTGCCCAGCCGACCACAGCAGCCGATGGGTTGCGTGCTACCAGCCCACTGCAAACAAAGTGAAGCACATCAGCTCGTGTGGCCACAAAGGATCTCGAAACCAACGTGTTTTACTTCACAACGGAGCAAGACAGGAGTGTGCACATCAGCTACCGTGACTCCACAGATGAGCTGCCCTTCAGCGAGCTCCCCTGCAGCACCTCGGCTGTTTGCATTCATTTATTTTACTTCTCAGTAATTTTATTTTTAAAGTAAATAAATGATTTTAAGCTGGCATGCATTGGTACAGTCTAATCACCCACTTGGGTTCACTACTGCAGTCCCTCAGCACATGGGGTTTCAACACTAAACGAAGAACCACTTTCCGCCCTTTATTCTGCTTGGTGGAATAAAAATAGAAGCTGTGGTGATCTATGAGATAAAAATGCCAAATATAAAAGGTGTTAAACAGTTGAGCACTGGAACTTTACCCCTGCTACCAAAAAATATTGGTATCTAAGTAATGCTAAGCTAGATCAAGGGATTTTTAAAAGTGCAAGGCTGAACAAGTGAGACAGAACCCAGGTGGATACGCTGAGATGAAAAGGATTTGCTGCTTCAGACAGCGCCCTGCTTCAAGAAGAGAAGGAAGAGAAGTAAAACAGACTGTGAGAAGATTCAAGTGATTAAAGCACTGGTGGGTCAAATTTAACTATGTTTCATTATATAATCTCATGCAGTCTCCTTCTGTGGTCACACAACAGCGCTGAGGGGCTCAGTCTACCCTGGACTCTTTCCGACAACACAAAACATCTAAGATTGCTAGTGGGCATCTGTATACCTGTTGCAAAAAAAATAGTCAATTATTGGCAGAGAAAATTCATAACGTGTCATTAGTAATCAGTCCCTCATCGCTGGGGACCAACCTCCTTTCCGAAGTGCAACGAGCCACGCGGCAGCTGAACTGAAGACTAATTCTTCAAAGGAGTACCAAGAACCAAGCACTTTCAATATCTCCATTTGGAGGAAGAAAACTATTCTGGCCTTCATTTGGAAGAAAAGTGCTCAGTTAATAAGGAGAGTTGTTAGAACAGAATAAAACTGAATGCTGGGGGCACACCACTTCACAGACTCAGAGACACGGCTCGTTGTAGTCTCTGTAATTTAGGAAAGATTTTGGGATTCTCCCTGTCAACAGTGGAGACTCGTGTAGCACACGCTGGGTATGACCACCTCCTTCCCTAGGCAGTGTGGGGAAAACAAAAACACAATAAAAAGTGTAACAGCACGCCCCAAGAGAAGAGGGCTTTGCTTGTTTTGTTAGGGGACTTTTTCCCCAAGGAAGAAGGACCTCCAGAGATCACAGTGAAACAAGTCGTCAAGAGAAGAACGGATTTGTTCCAGCTGGTACTGCTGGTACTAAGCTCTGCCTTGACTCTTTAAAGGAGATAACACCCAGCAGACAGTGCCATGTCTCAAAGAGGTTTATGGAGAATTCAGAAAGTATCAAGAGACTGTCGACATGTAGCTAAACTTTACCCTCCCTGAACAACGGTCACTCTTCCAGGGCTGCACCCAAGTGCCAGACTTCTTCCTTCTCACCCAATAAAGGTCTTGCTGCCAGCCACCAAACCCTTCCAGTGCTGCTCCCAGCAGCAACAGCTTTCTTGGCTAGAAACTCATGGAGCAGAATTAGCCCACACGCTATTACTTTTCCTGCTCTGGATTGTAACTACTGCACCAAGGCAGACTCCAGCTGGGACACCAGACCCAGTAAATCTAACAACACAGCTTTCAATGGGAAAAGCTACAAGGGACTCCAAGTCCTCAGGTGTGCCTGCAAGCCCACGCTGAAACCCTCCATCCCTAAACCTCTGAAGAGATGGTACCAGAGACAGCTAAAACAATGCTACTTAGAATCACAGAATCGTAGACTGGTTTGAGTTGGAAGGGACCTCAAAGATTATCTAGTTCCAACCCCCTGCCATGGGCACGGACACCCTCCACTACACCAGGTTGCCCAAAGCCTCATCCAACCTGGCCTTGAACACTTCCAGGGATGGGGCAGCCACAGCTTCTCTGGGCAACCTGTGCCAGTGCCTCACCACCCTCAGAGGGAAGAATTTCTTCCTTAGATCTCATATAAATCTGCCCTCTTTCAGTTTAAATTCATTGCCCCGTATACTGTCACTCCACGCCCTTGTAAAAATTCCCTCTCCAGCTTTCCTGTAGCCCCTTTAAGTACTGGAAAGCTGCTATAAGATCACCCCAGAGCCTTCTCTTCTCCAGGCTGAACAGCCCCAACTCTTTCAGCCTGTCTCCATAGCAGAGGTGCTCCAGCCCTTGGATCATCTCCGTGGCCTCCTCTGGTCCCGCTCCAGCAGCTCCATGTCCTTCTTGTGTTGGGGACTTAAACACGTACTTAAAACACATCTGCCCAGATTCAAGCTCTCTATCACAAGGTAGACATTAATGCAGCGCAGCTCCACCAAAAGCAAAAACATACCAATGGGCACTACTAGGGCTTAAGGAAAAATACAGGCAAAGATACTAATCAGCCCACTATCACTGAGGTTCAGTGCTGTCCCTTACTGATAGAATCACAGAATCATAGAATGGTTAGAGTTGGAAGGGACCTCAAAGATCATCTAGTTCCAACCCCCCTGCCATGGACAGGGACACCCTCCACTACACCAGGCTGCTCAAAGCCTCATCCAACCTGGCCTTGAACACTTCCAGGGATGGGGCAGGCACAGCTTCTCTGGGGAACCTGTGACAGTGCTTCACCACCCTCTGAGTGAAGAATTTCTTCCTTAGATCTAATCTAAATCTCCCCTCTTTCAGTTTAAAGCTATTTCCCCTTGTCCTATCACTACCCGCCCTTGTAAAAAGCCCCTCTCCAGCTTTCCTGTAGGCCCCCTCTAAGTACTGGAAGGCTGCAATACTTAAAGGGGGCCTACTGGAAATATTCAGGCACCAGTCCTGCAGAACACGTCCTTGCTGCAACCTGAGCAATCACCATATTACACTGCTGCCAACCTACAGTTTCAAAATGCTTAAAAGACATCCAGTTAGAAACCAGACTCCAGCAAATATCATTCCTCTTTCAGGCTCCTGCATCCTTCCAAGGGGAACAGCGACTCCAGAAAGAGGTCTAAGGAGTAATGGCCTTATACACTTGATCAGCCTACATTTAATGCTGTGAAATACACCAACCAACACACAGCATCACATCTTACTAGAAAAAAAGGCAACAGTCTTGTTGCAAGGCAGTTCCTCAGATGTAAAGGACTGATGTACTGACATGGCAAACAAGCAGGTTTTTCACATACTCCAAGATGGAACTCCATGGGACCCGAAAGCATTTTTGACCACTCTGCTTGCAAGTGCACCTCCAGTAAAAGACAGGGAACGTGCTGCTCTTCTCTGCCTGTCTCCAGCGGCTGCTGGCAGCGGGCTCCTGGCGCACAGTCCGTGTTCAGCAATGACTTGTAGCTGGTGCAATACTCTGCCCGAGGGATGATCAGCCAGGACACCTTTCTTCCCAGATGCTGAATTAAATATTTTGAGATTTTTTTTGGTTGTTTTGTTTCAAACACTCAGCACATAGGAAAGCACGTATTTCATTTTGGCAGGAGAGAGAGGGCAGAGAACACATGCCCGACAGCAGCAGGCAGAAGAGGCTTCTTTCCTTAGAGCACTTGGCCCAAGGCATCATGGATTTTGCTCTAGAAACCCAGGAAAGGAATGATAGCAGCTAGAAATTTGTTGAAAGGTCGAGACTTCTGTATCACAAGTTAAAAATACAGATCACTTAATCCACCCTCCTACGTGCAGGAATCTGAGACCACAAAACGGTGTGCAAAGCAGTTTCTGCTGGGTTCAAAGAGCTCTGCACAGCATCACAGAAACCCAAACTGGGAACAGTCACATACATCATCCAGATGACACGTCTTGTTGAGGGTTCAGAACGATGGGGTCTCCAGATAGCGAGCTATGGGAGCTTCTTAAGGACTTCTCCAAGGTAAAGAACAATTTTCACCCAACCCAGAGTTCACACTGACGTTTCAAATGGAAGAAGCTGCAGAACCTACTTGATTGAGGAGCTCTCATAGCAACTAGGCACTTT